ATGTAATTTGGAAACATGTCATGCCATTTGTATGTGATTAAATAATTCTAAACAGTTCAAAATGGAAAACTTCTCATGATTTTGTGACATAAAAAGATGAAACCTTGACAAAGTATAACTGTGTTGATTTTACAGACACAAAAAATGAATCCTGTTTAAATCATTCCTTAATTTAGTTGTTCAAACCCATTCCTGACCTTTCATATGTATCATCTCCAGAGAGCAGTGGAGCAGGAGCTTTTCTTTTAATGGCCTTACGTTTGGTGTGATTCACTAGTTTCTGTGATATTGACGTCCATCTCTACAAAAACCAGCCATGCAAATAATTAAAGTGGAAATACGGTGTATTGTCAACCAGAAATCAATAAGGATGAGAATATTGGTCAATATCCAATAGTGTTCATTCCAAACACCAGAGTCAGCTTATTGTCCGGCAAAACTGACTGAAGACCCATCAATCCCAGCTCCAAAGTCTTCATCACTTAAAGACAAAAAGTACCAAATGGAGGTTTGGATCACTTTTGATGATCTACAGCTGATTCCAGAGCAGCTACTGTCACAATGCTGATAATGCTGGGTGTTGTGTTCAACAGAAGACCAGCAGAAGAAAAGTTTAACAGAGGCTTAACATTTAGTTACTGCTTCTTTGGCTTCATAGTAAATCAGAGCAGAAGTGTCAGTGTGGACATGAGGGACAGAGGGTTTGTCACCCACTCACTTATGTTATTTTAAATTCTTCAATATTTATTCTCTGTCATTTTCTTCATGTGATTATTTCTTGGTTTAATATTTGACGTTTTGCTCCGGAGCTGCATCATCGTCACTGTGTCACCACCAAGTCTCCACATCGAGGGAGGAGATTAAAAAAAAACTGCTGAGGTCGGAGGTAGGAGGGTCAGAAGGTTTCCGAGTCCTCAGAGTCGTTCTCTGTGGTTCCCTCGCTGGAGGGTCGGGAGGGGTTCCTCTGGCTCCGCGGGGCCCGGGGGCCGACGCCTGGGCCGGGGCCTTTTCCTGCCGGGTGGGGGAGGTGCCTCAGCAGGGCGCCTGGGGAGGGGGCCCCGGAGCTGCAAGGGGAGCAGAAAGGCATCATGGTAGCCAGAATGAGAGCCAGGCAATCAGCCACCTCTCTGCTCGGAGCGCAAGCCAGAGCGGGGGTCAGACCTGAGGTAGAGAGACAGAGAGAGAGGGAGGGAGGGAGGGAGGGAGGGAGGGAGGGAGGAAGAGGAGACGTGGACGAGGAGGAAGCAGGGAGGCGAAGCAGGAGCAGGAGACAAAGGGACGGAGCAGCATTCCATTAGAGTTCAGCCAGCTGACGTCGGGGGGGGGGGGGGGGGGGGGGGGGGGGCAACAAACACATTCAAATAAAGTCCAACTGAAATCTGATTTCCTCAAACACAACATTCTGCAAACGGAGGAAATAAAGTCTGAAGATCATCAGCGAGACAGAAGAGGAGAGGACCGGCAGGTTATCACAGATGTGTCCAGATGTCTTCGTGCTGTCCACCGCGCTGCAGTCGAGCATCAGCTGTGACGAGGGTCTGACGAACGAGTCGTTAACGAGGAGAGAAGCTGCAGAATGAAACGTGAGCTCTGCCCCACGCATCACGTGACTGTCTGTTTTCTAAAAGTTTTATTCACATATTAAAACTTCAGTTGGACTTTAAAACATCTGATGACACAGGACGAGCGAGCGAGCAGCGCAGACACAGCTTCAGTCAGGATTCCCACAGCGTCTTCGTGACTCTGATACAATTCATCAGAACTGAGATTATTTATCAGATGCTGAATTTTAAAAAAAGTTTTTACTGTCGTCAACACGAGATCTCTGTCGTTCTGCGTCTCAGATCAAATGCTCCGACGCAGTTTTAAAATCCTTTGACCTGCATGTGACCAGTGGGAACCCTCTTAATTTGCAGAGCAAACAACAAACACATTTCATCACTGAAGCCGAGTTCATGCTGAAGCTGAAGAAACGCTTCGTGCCGACCGGACGTGCAGCTCTGATCTAAAAGCACTGAGTCGTCTGGATCAGACCAGAGCGGCTTCATCCTACCGTTCTCATCCACCGTCTGAACGTTGGCTCCTCGGGACAGAAGCTCCTGCACCGCCTGCTTCAGGCCGCTGCGAGCCGCCAGGTGGAGAGGACTGTGGGTAACGGAAGAGTTGAACAAGTTGTTAAAGAGTAAGGTGTCTCCGGACTGTGTCTGTTCAGCTGCTGATTCCACGTCTACCTGCTGTACTCACGTTTGCAGCGCTGCATTTGTGGCGTTAATGAGCGAAGTGTCCGTAAGTTTCTCCAGGATCAACATCACACAGTCTTCTTTTCCCTGCGGAGAGAAGACGACGAGTTATAACGAGAGAGAGAGAGAGGAAGGTCTGATCGCAGCGTTGCAGAGAAACATGTTGGGATTGAGAGGAACGAAACATTAACTTCCCCTTGTGGACACTTACGTTACTGCAGGAGAGGTGCAGCGCCGTGTTGCCGTCCTTGTCCGTCGCAGTGATTTTGGCGCTGGCGCTGGTCAACAGCACCTCTGGAGACAGGAAACACAAATATGTAAAACATGAGCGGAAAATACCGGAATGATTCGAATAAATCAGCCTAGAAAATCGTCTCAGTACCGAGGACCCCGGCTTTGCCCTTCTCTGCCGCCATCATCAGCGCCGTGCGACCCGCTTGGTCCACATCATCGACGGGCGCATCGTGCGAAAGCAGCAGCTGGACGCATTCGACGTGACCCGCGAAGGCTGCGGCATGAAGAGGAGTCCTGCCCTTGGCGTCCTTGCAGCCGGCGATGTCTGACCCCATGGCGTCCAGCAGCAGAGACGCACACGGCTCGTGATCGTTCACCCTGAAGATTTGAACACGAGAGTTCAGCGACTGGGGTCTGATTGTCAAACATGAACGATGCTAATAAAGTTTGCAGACTCACACAGCGCAGTGCAGAGGTGTGAAGGCGTTTCCATCGATGCAGCGACAACCTTTCTGCTCCAGCAGGACCTCGACACACCCCTCCTGACCTGCACACACACAACACACGTGTGTAGTAATGGAAAGAGAGTGTGTGTGTGTGTGTGTGTGTGTGTGGACACTGACCGTAGTAACAGGCCCAGTGCAGCGGCGTGTATCCGCTGTGGTCCCTCAGCGGCGGCAGGGACGGCGGATCAGAGCAGGCGATGCTCAGCAGCTCGCTCAGCCAGGAGGCGTGTCCCCGGGCCGCCGCCAGGTGGATGGCCGTACGACCCCGAGAGTCACCGAGTAGAACGGAGGCCTCCTGCTCCAGCAGACACTGGATACACTCCTCCTGACCACACAGCAGCTGCACACAGCGTTAACGTCAAGTGTGTTATTGAAGAGGATAAGCAGGACGTGATGTCTCGTCTGTTCCCATATTTAATTTAATGCATTTGTTAGTTAAAAAAACAAAACTCACCCCGAGGTGCAGAGCAGTGAGGCCGTGGTTATCCGCCACGTTGACGCTTGCTTCCCTCTCCAGCAGCAGCGACATGGCGTCCACGTGACCTCCGGCCACCGCCAGCATCAGAGGAGTCCTGCGGACGAGCGACGAGGACGGTTTGTGTGTTTGAGAAAGAAACAGGGGAGAGAAAACAGGAGGAGAGAGGAAAAAAGGGACGATCACTCACTGTCCCTGAGAGTCAGCAGCATCCACAAGCTCTGCGCTGTCGGATTCGTCCAGCAGGAGGCGCACACACGTCGTATGACCGTTCATCACTGCAGAGAGAGAGAGAGAGGGTGGAACAGAGCGAGGGGCACAACCAGAGAAACGTTATTAATGGTCAGGAAATAGAAAAAATACTGTAATGTGCGTGTGTATAATGTATATATTCAAATATATGTGGAAACAACATGCTGCTGAACGTGATGAGCGTCAGTGACACAGAAACATGAACCTGAACGTACCTGCCAGGTGGACGGGGGTGCGTCCGTGCTGCGCGTCCGTGGTGCGCGGCGACGCCCCCTGGCTGAGGAGGGTGTGAACGCAGTCAGTGTGGCCCCGGAGGGCAGCAAGAGCCAGGGGGGTCCTCCCCACCTCGTCCCCCTGGTCCACCTCCCTCTCCCCCTGCAGCAGCACCTCCAGAGCCTGAGCGTGGCCGTGGTACGACTGCAGGAGGAATTTTTAAAAAACATTTTATCTGTAATACTTTTCGTTTGATCGCCTCTCAGAGCAACATGAACTCTAAACTTCCCGGAGAGAAAAGAAAATGTTTTGATCAAAGTGAAATTATTTCAGTTCTTCTCACAAATTCGGAAAAACAAGAGTTCTGTGGAAAATGTTTTTAAAGTTTAAGTCAAGAATTGTTTTCGCATTGAACCTGGAAACTGGTTTGAGACTCACAGCGAGGTGCAGCGGGCTCCTGGCGCTCGGAGATTCGGGGTCGTCATGGCGACTGTCGTCTCTGTCCAACAGCTGCAGGACACAACAGGAAAGTTTCAGCCAGAAGAGAAGAAGATATTATGTGAGACGCAGGATTTAAGACAACATCATCCACTCACTTCACATCAAATGACGGACGATGAAACAACGTTAAAATAATAAATAATAATTCCTGCAGATGTTCTGAACCTAAGTGATTATTGAACTCATTAAACCCACAATCTGCATTAGCAGGTTTTTATTTTATGCTAAGTTAATAATGTTTGAGGGAAACAGCTTTAAAGCTTAAGACGCTTTTAAAAAAGGATTTTAATCTCATTTAAGCGTAAAGATAATTTCAGGAAACGAGGCCCTGAATTGTGTTTGCAGTGAAAATGTGAAGAGAACTGATGCAGAGAATCGCCTGCAGTCACAACAACACAAATACTTCACATATTAAACACACATATTTCCTCCATGTGGCCCGAGTGAGTAAACTGACCAGTTCCAGACAGTGCCTGTGTCCGTAGGCGGCGGCGTAGTGGACGGAGCAGTAGCCCTGTTTGTCTTTGAGCGAGGCCGTCGCTCCGCTCTGCAGCAGGAACTCTAAACATCTGGAACACAAACACGTCACAGTGAACAGGCAGGATGGCGGCTCAGAGCACGCAGCTCACATGTGTGAATCTAACACGTCAGCCTGCTCGCGCTCTCTCACGTCCGATTATTTCAATACATTAAATATCCCACACACGTCTAACGAGCTTTTGAGACAATAAAACCAAAGATCGACCGACGCAGACATTTCATACTCTCTCTCCCAATTTATTTATAGTGACTAAATTAAGTATAAATACACTTTATGTCGCTGGTCCTGAGTTTATTGTTTCACAGCTGTCGGATGTCAATGTGCTCTACAGTTGGGACGAATGTTTCTTTATCTCCTGTGTGTTTCTGTCAGTGTGAACTCACAGTCCCGCCTCTTTCTCCCTCTCCGCCTGAACGCCGTCGCTCTCCGGCTCCAGAGCGACACGACGCCTGTGGAACAGAAGGTTGAGAGGGGGAGGTGGGAGGGAGGGGCACCAGAGAGGGGGAGGAAGGGTGAGACAAAAAGAGGAGGAAATCATCAACACTGTCAAACTACAAGTGGGAGGAGCGACTCAGTGTTTCGGGGCCGAGCGCTGAATCGTTAACCTCATCCGGTGAGGCAGTTACCATGGAAACAGTGAGGTGCGATCGCTCAGGTTTCTATGAGTCGTAACGGTGACTTTTTATTGACGGTAAAGTTCGTCCACCTCGGTCTCTCACCTCCTGTCCAGGTCCGAGGCAGCAGCGTAGTGCAGGGCGGAGCGCCCCCACTGGTCGGTGGCGTTAATGGCGGTGCCACAGGCCACCAGCGTCTCCAGACACTGATAGTGACGACTGGCGGCTGCATAGTGAAGAGGAGTCCTGAGGAGGAACACGTGATTCTGATTTATAAACTCAGGATGTTCACAACACGGCGGATGATCAGTTTTCATCACATTCATTTATAAGTGTAGAATATTTTCTCAAACATTCTAACAATGAGGATATCTAGTTTGTCGATGATTTCATGTGTTATCTGTTGGTATAAATAAAAATAGAAGATTCTTTTAAATCACCCAAAATACTCAGAGAAAATTCTTAAATAATCCTAATGTATGAGTTAATTACCCAGTAATCAGCAGCGTATAATTATCTCAACAACAGTGTCAGGAACAACTTTAACTGGAGTATATTTTCTTTTACCTGCCACATGTGTCTCTCCTGTTGTGATCTCCTCCGCTGCTCAGGAGCAGCTTCACACACTCCACGTTACTGCACACACAGAAACACACACTAGGTCAGACTATGTAAGAATTACAATGACGTACTTTATGTAGGTTATGTTTTCAGTTTTTAGTCTTTAGCTGTTCTATTTATTTCTTTTCACTTTAAAAAAAATTCTGTCAATCTATGTGTCCCATAATGAACGGTGGTTCTCACCCTCCGGCGGCAGCAGCGTGCAGGCAGGTCCTCCCCAGGGTGTCAGGGGTGTCGATCTGGAAGCCTGCAGAAAGGACTGAGTCGTTACACATTATGCTAAACCTCCGACCTGAAGAGGAGGCGCAGGGAGGGCGGAGGGAGGCCAGACAACACAGGAGGGGCCGGAGAAAGAGAGACAGAGAGGAGGGAGACGAGAGAAAGACAGGTGTTAGTGCGACAGGTGCACAGAGGGGGTTGGGTGAAGCTGGTGCAAGATGCATTCACAGGAAAACACATGCGGAGATGTAAAACGCGTCGTCATAAGGTCACAGAGACAAAGTGTCTACAAAGAAACTCAGCTTCTTTTACAGAAAAGTTTTAGTCTGTCCGGCAAATGTTTCAAAATGAATATAAAAACTTTCATAAAGTCCAGGCAGGTTCACAACGTCAGCGTCTTAGGGCCCAAAAAATGATCTTGAATATTAGATATCGCGAGAATTAATTACGACAGCTGCTCCAGACGTGAGAGGCTGGACCTCGCTGAATCGTTAAACGAGATCTGGAGCCAAAAAGAACTGTGGTTGTTCCCCTGCTGCTACTTCACATTCGTTTCATGGATCTTCTTCTTTTCAAAACTACACGGGTTGTTAAAATAAATAAATACATATTTCACTGCCAAAAGCAACAGGGAAACTTTTCAGGAAATGTAAATAAGACAGAACACTGAGTTGTCCAGAGGGAGAAGGTCCCAGCAGCGAGTCGTTAGTCTTAACGAGGCCTCGTCTGTCTCTGGAGCATTGTGACTTGAATTTGAGTTTAAATATGTGAATTCACCACGACCAGGACCAAGACTTCCTGAAAACTACACTTATACACTTACAGCTCATGTTCTAACTGAGATATCCAGGTCAACATCCTCATGGTTGATTAATCAAGTTAGAATTATTAATGAGAAACCTGAAGTTTTAAATTAGTTCACGTTAGAGACCAAAGTGAGCCGCAGCAGATTCACTGATTCACTCTCCGGACGTTTTGCTAACGACAACTCGGAGCTGTTTGAGCTAACATTAAAATAAATGAGTCAAATCTATGTGACTTGTGGTAAAATGACGATGATGTGTATAGATTATTATGCAACAACACAGCTAATGCTATATTTATTTCAGGCGAAACATTAGCATCAGTCCAAACAGCGAGACAACAACCGTAACATTTATTTTACCAGCAAATGTTTAATCTGGAAAAAATGACGAAAGACGCAAAACAAACGCTAAAGCTCCTGTATGAAGACCAAACCGAACCGTGACTCTGGCTACACAAGCTAATTAGCTTTAGCTGAACTTTTTCTTATTTCCTGGAATCTGTTTTGAGCTTAGCTTTGTTTTTTATCCACGTAACATATAATGGTGAGTTTAAACATTAAGTAAAACAAGAACAGGCTTTATATAAATCAATATAATTCAACATATTAAAGAACCATCAAGTCCAGTCAACACCTCTGATCATTATTAACCAGGTGTACCTAATAAACTGGAAGCTGAGGTTATTCTGCCAAAACATTGATAAAAGTCGGTGTTGTTTTTATTCCAGGTGTCAATACAAATTAAAAGCTGAAGCGCTCCGTTACCAAACTTTACAGCCAGAAACTGAATCTGGTTTGTACGACTTCGTGCTCCTGTGCGTTACCTGAGGACAGCAGCTTCCGGCAGCAGTCGGAGTGAGCGTTCAGAGCAGCCAGGTGCAGAGGAAACATGCCGTGGACTCCTCGCCTGCGGAGAAGAAGAACAATCTCTCACTGAACATCGTTTCATCGCAGCGTTTGAAAACACCAAGAGTTAATCAAATCAAACCGGGTGCAGTCTGCTCCGCTGGTGATGAGCGTGTTGATGAGGAGTTCGTGGCCGAAGCGGGCGGCGATGTGAAGAGGGGTGTTACCGTCCTTGTCCACGCTGTCGATCTCCCCACCTGGAAAATATCACGTTCGTTCAAAAATAAGGGAGAATACGTTTCAAGTGTGTTTCAGAGAGACGCCGCACAACGAGGTCGCACCGTTCTGGATCAGGGTCTGAGAGCGAGTGAAGCGTCCGTGAACTGCCGTCATGTGAAGAGGACTCTTCCCGTCCCGACTCTGACGGAGAAAACACACGTGTCACAGAGTTAATTATTTCTTTACATTAATTTATCTACATTGCTATAAAGGATATCGTTCATATTCTACTCACCAGAATTAATAAAGTTTGATTTTAAAGGTTCTAACCAACAAATATTTTCATAATCAATAGATGTGATGATTCTTTTATCACTGATTCTGTTTGTAAAGTGAATTTTAAGTCAAAATATACTGAAATTCTCTCATTATTCTCTGAGGCCTCAACACATTTCAACAAATCCACACAGATGACTGGGAAAGTGGAGAATATTCAGATTTTAGAAACTGGGAACAGTGAATTTCTTGCATTTATAATTAAAAACAAACAATTAGTGAATCATTTCATCTCAAAAACAACCGTATCGTGTAGAGAACTGGTTGGTGCTTGTAAAAATCGATATGATCTACCCCTGGACAGAAGTGTTTCACGAGCAGACCAGAAGAAACCGAGGAGAGCAGCTCTCATGTGAGGCAGGCGTCCAGTCGAACACATACCTGGACGTTGACGTCAGCCCCGTTGTTGACCAGGAACTCCAGGCAGAGCGCCCCGTGTGTGGAGGCGGCGGCAAAGTGCAGCGGGGTGAAGCCCTTGTTGTTGGGCTGACTGACGTTGGCGCCGTAATCGATGAGCTCGCTCACGACGGCGTCCTGGCCGTTAAAACAGGCCACGTGGAGCGCAGTGTTCCCGAAGGCATTGGACTCGTCTATCTGTCGTCCGAGAGGAGAACACAAATCTGTCCCAGTCAGTGTTGTTTGTTAAACTCTGAGCATGAGCAGAGTTGAAATAGTGTTTGTCTTTTCAGAGCTCAGAGTGAAAACAATAGGAACAGTGTGTGTGTGTGTGTGTGTGTGTGTGTGTGTGT